TAAAAAAAGGCATGAATAGCCTTTGGGGGACTTGCAGAGTGCTCCTGGGGGATGGGGGGCCAAAAGCGAGCAAAAAATGGCCCTTTTCCCACAAAAACGGGTCCTTTTTTTAAAAAAAGGCATGAATAGCCTTTGGGGGACTTGCAGAGTGCTCCTGGGGGATGGGGGGCCAAAAGCGAGCAAAAAATGGCCCTTTTCCCACAAAAACGGGTCCCTTCTTTAAAAAAAGGCATGAATAGCCTTTGGGGGACTTGCAGAGTGCTCCTGGGGGATGGGGGGCCAAAAGCGAGCAAAAAATGGCCCTTTTCCCACAAAAACGGGTCCCTTCTTTAAAAAAAGGCATGAATAGCCTTGGGGAGGCTGCAGAGTGCTCGGGGGGGGGCAAAAATGAGCAAAAAATGGCCTGTTTTTCATGAAACGGGCCCATTTTTCATTAAAAAATATTGCATGCATAGCTTATGGAAGCTTATAGAGTGCTGCTGGGGGCTGGGGGGGGCAAAATGGCCCGTTCTTTGCTCATTTCTGCCCTCCCCAGCCCCAAGGAGTTCTCTGAAAACCTCCATAAGGCTAGGCACGGCCATTTTGGTGAAGGGGGCGGGGCTTCGGGGGCAAAAAATGCTGTATTCGATGTATAAGATGCACCCAGATTTTCAGCCTCTTTTTTGAGGAAAAAAGGTGCGTCTTATACTCCGAAAAATACAGCATATTAAAAGGGACAAGTAAAGCAAAGAAAAATGTATAAGATCAGCCTGAATCTATTTGTATGAAATTTATATTTATGAAAGAAGGGGTCCCTGAGGATTTTACTCCGTTAAGCATAGCTGATTTTAGGCAGTAGTGCTCATCTTCATTTCTAGAGAATAGAACCAGCACTGTCCAAAGATATATCTGTGATCATGTGGCCAACATGAGGTCATGGAGGGCTGTTAGTACCTCCCAAAGTGGTACCAATTTATCTAGTTGTATTTGCATGCTTTCAAACTGCTAGGTTGGTAGGAATTGGGGTGACAACAGGAGATCACCCAATCATGTGGCACTCGAATCTTGAACCTGGGTTGTCGACTTTCCAGCTGACAAGCCCAGTGTCTTAACTGCTATGTCATAGTGCTGCCTCCATTCATGTTAATGCTCCCACATTATTTAATAAACACGAATACAGGGCCCACAGGTTGGAGTTTGAAGATTTGGGGCAGCTTTGCATGTATTCCTGTCACTAGTTAGTTAACTCCAAAGAGAAAAAAATTGCATCTAACTGGAAGAGAAATATCATTACTGAGATTTCCTTAGCAATACATCTTTTTGCAAATCTTCATGGGACTAGTTATTCAAAGATCAAACACTCAGATCTGAATAAGTATCCTTAGTTTACACTGCAACAACATGTGTCTTATAAAGCACATGAA